CACACTATCTCAATGTAAGACAAGGAGTACGATTGCATAAATATATAAACTGCAAGCATATGTAAGACAATGTAAGACAAGCATATGTACTTTGACTAAAACATGATTGCCAGATCAAAATAGTGTTCATATCTGAAAGCCAAGGTTTTACAGCATATCTAACACCAAGCCCCCAGTCACGTAGATAATCGGTAATCGGAGCAGGTAAAGAAAATCTTAATCCCGACCTCAGGCTCTCAGCCATGACACCGACACACCCGGGTAGAGGACAAGTAATTTGTTCCCCAAGATAGGGGGCAAATAACCTAACAGTTGAAGGAACTCTAACTTCTTAGCGTAGGAGCACCACATCGGCATCAGTTAAAATGCTCGCTTCACCTCGATTCTCACCGATGGCCTCAAGCCACCGACGTGCAGGACGTCTCCAATACTCCGCGAGTGATATAGCATCGTCTTTAACTATTCGGTCACCCTCATCATTATCTTTCTTCAAATTAAGGGTCTCGACGAGCAGAGGATCCCATCGGTAATATTCAAGCGGCAACTCCAAATCCTCATCAGTGAAAATCCTAGCCTCGGAAATTGCACGACTACTACTAGATTCGGCCTTTGAAACTGTTTTTCCAAATTAAAAGAAAAAGAGAACTTCAATCGACAGAAACAAAAAATTGAAAATTAGGGCTAAACCTTACCAAATACCCCGATGCCCTAGACTTGTAAGGATGAAAAATTGATTGAAGATGTGATTATCAAAATGAATTCGAAAGATTTAAAGGCCAAAAGAAAGCAGAAGACAGCGAGTTTATCAATTATGAGCGTAAAACTCTTCAAGGTTGAAACCGCTCGAAATTTATACTCTGAAAATAATAACCGTTGGGCAATTAGGAATCGGCGTGTGTAACGGACGTGTCCTCAAAGGACGTAATGTTCCAATTCACTTTAACAAGTGGGCCAATCCCAAGTTTCCACATACCCCGATTATTTCTATCTATTGCACCCGTTAAATGCGGACACGTCTTTTAATAAACCGCCACGTCAGAAGAGTCGTTATACTGCCCCAGTATTCCATACGTGAAAGTTAATATTTGTTCAAGTGTTCCAATGTCGGTAATAAAGAAAGACGTCGGTTAGCACGATTACGTCGGAGTAAAAGCAGAATCAAGTCAGATTTGGTAAAAATATTGCAACATCAGCAGCCATTTCAACTCAAATACCTACTAATGTCGGGGGACTCTCTGTTGACAACCGACTTGATTTTTAAAGATTAAAGGAAGATTTATTGATGTTATCTTTGAATACTTTTTTCGGCTCACTTCCTGCAATAAACTTAGCCCAACTCGGTGCAAATGAACAACGACCGACTTCACTTATAAAATGACAACCGATCTACTTAAGACCGTAAACTGACTTTGCAGGAAAGACAAAAAACCGACTTCTTGAATAATTATCCCTGAAGGTTATCCGCTCAGACCGAGATCCAAGATGATTGGATCACAAAACAGGTGACAAAGCATATTCCCGTTTGGGCCACCTATCATAAAAGTAATCATTGTTGTCCCCTCATTGCCATACAAACCGCTTTAATGAAGCTGCTCAACATTAAATACGATCTGATCTACCTCGTACGAAAAGTCAAAGGCACCATACTATAAATAGTAGAATTTACGAATATAAGGGGATCATTTTACGCAAATTGTACACGGATGAACAAAATTAGCTCGGTTATACACAAAATCCGACTTCATGTACTCTTGTAACGGCAGCAATAATCCAATAATTTTTATTGCTTTTACTTTAATTACACCTTGCTACTGTTGATTTTAGTTCTTTAACTCCATACAACATGTTTGTGATACCAAAGAAGCTATTCAGGAGCATGTGGAAGACTTCTACAACATCCTTTTCACCACTGAAGGCTCTTCTGGAGGTGAGAACATTCTCCAAGATGTGCAGCACACCATCTCAGACTCAATTAACTCAGAGCTCTTGGCCCAAGTTGAAGAAGAAGAAATAAAGCAGGCTCTCTTCTCCATGAATCCTTCCAAATCCCCAGGTTCTGATGGTATGCCTGCCCTATTTTTCCAGCATTTCTGGCCTTTGATTAAGAAGGACTTGTGTGAAGCTGTTCTTAGTTTCTTCCTCTCTGGGAAAATACTCAAATACTGGAACCACACCCTTTTAACTCTTGTTCCCAAATGTGCAAATCCCAACTACCTCTCCCAATACAGACCCATTAGTTTATGTGCTGTAGTCTACAAACTCATTTCTAAAATTCTTGCTGGTAGACTTAGAAACTGTCTTCACTGCTGCATACATGAAGCTCAATCTGCTTTTTTACCTGGGAGGCAATTAACTGACAATGTGGTCATAGCAAATGAAGGCATCCATTTTCTAAATAGGCATCATACAGGCAAGCATCTTTTATGGCTATAAAACTGGACATGATGAAGGCTTTTGACAGGATTGAGTGGAAATGTATCAGAATGACCATGCTCAAAATGGGGTTTGCAGCCCAATTTGTTAATTGGATTATGGAGTGTGTGTCTACTGCTTCCTTCTCCTTCATTCTTAATGGCAGCATCAGTGGATACATCAATGCTCAGAGAGGATTAAGGCAAGGGGACCCTCTGTCCCCTTACCTGTTCATCATTGTCTCTCAAGTCCTTTCTGCTATGATCACTGCAGCTGTGGATAGGGGGATTTTCAGAGGACTTTCATTAGCCAGAGGAGCTCCTATCCTCACACACCTCCTCTTTGCGGATGATTCTATAATTTTCTGTAAAGCAGATGGATATCAGGCTAGAGCCATCAAATCAATCCTTGAATGCTACCAAAAATTCTCAGGACAGAAGGTTAACACTTCAAAATCTTCTATTTTCTTCAGCAAGAACACCAGCACACCAATCCAACAACAAGTCTGCCATTTCTTTCCTGGTATCCAAGTGCAAAACTCCTCCAGATATCTTGGACTACTATTTGGCATTGGTAAGTCAAAAAAGGAAGTCTTTGGGTTTGTGACTGAGGCTGTTAGGAAAAGAGTACTCAGCTGGAAAAACAGGTACCTTTCATCTGCTGGGAAGGAGGTACTTGTTAAATCTGTTCTGAATGCTCTCTCTCTTTTTGTTATGTCATGTTTTAGACTGCCAGTAGCTATATGTAAAGAGGTGACAGGTATCATTGCAAACTTCTGGTGGAAGAAAAACAATGAGCAGCACAGTGGAATCCACTGGAAGAGATGGGACTTATTGACACTAACAAAAAAGCAGGGTGGGCTTGGTTTCAAGGATTTATCCCTCTTTAATGATGCCATGTTGGTCAAGCAAATCTGGAGGGTGATAACTCAGCCACAACTCCTCATGAGCAGAATTCTCAAAAGTAAATATTTCCCAAACTCTTCCATCTTTGAAGCTACTCAGAAACAGAACTCCTCATGGCTTTGGAGATCATGGCTAAAAGTCAGATGGATCCTAAAAGAGGGACTAACTATAGACATAAAAAATGGAGCTACTGTTCAACTGCAAGATTTCAATTGGGTTCCTGGCCTAAGAGGAAGACCTTTGCAGTTTAAAAATGCAGCTGACCACAAGAAACTCTGGGTGAAGGACCTCTTGAATGCGGACCACACATGGAATGAGCAAAAAGTAAAGGAAATTTTTGTGGCACAGGACAGCTCTGAGATCCACAAAATCAGTACACTTGACCCCCTACTGGCTGACAAATGGAGATGGAACATTGACACCAAAGGCAAATTCTCAGTCTCTTCTTCCTATGCTTTCCTTTTCCTCAGGAAATTTCAGTCCCTTGACATTGCTGAGGGGAGCAACACAGCTACCAGAAACCAACAAGCAAGACACAGAAGCTGGAGCATAAGAACCAAAGGCAAAATAAAACATTTACTTTGGAAGTGCTACACCAACTCCATGCCTGTGAACCTAAAACTGCAGAAAATGGGTGTTGATGTGGATGCCACTTGCCCCTGCTGCAGTGAAGCTCCAGAGACTGTCGAGCATATTTTTCTCACATGCTCCAGAGCAAGGAAGGTGTGGAAAATGGCACCGGTCAGCTGGGGAGGGATTGAAGTGGACAGCTTCAAATTCTGTGATTGGTGGGGAACAATTTGCTGCTTGGATAAGTCTAAAGCCACTGAAGAAAGAATCGAACTCACAACTTACATTTTATGGTGGCTTTGGAAGTCTCGTAACCTTTGGGTTTTTGAGAAAAAATGGAGGCCCGAGCACAACATTGTCAAAGGCGCTTTGAAAGAATGGCAAGAAACAAAGATCAACTGCACCTGATGCTTCAGCAAGCTATGAGTCCATAACTAGGTCTATTTGATAGTTCAGTGGTTTGGTCTCTTGTTTATATCTTGGTTTGCATTGTTTATTTCTCATTAAAGGATCCAGCTTGGTTCTGCCTTTAATGATTGGGTTGTATATGTTTAGCCTACTTGGTTAGTAGTGCTCCCTGGTCTTTACCTTCGGCTTTTGGCTTGTATTTGCATGGATATTGTAGTTCGTGACATTATGTTTCTATTTATATATATATAGGGATGCGCTCCGGTGAGAATGGTTCTCAGTGAAAGAAATAAGAATAAATTGTGACCATTAGATCGGATAGATCTAATAGCTAAAAGAAAATCAAAATTATACCTTCATTAAGGGTATTATGGACATTTTATCACCAACTCTTAACCACATCAATGGGTCCCACCATAAACCAATCAATTCAACTCTGCACCTAACACACACGTTTTTCAGCAAATCTACTATCTCTCTCCCCACTTTTCTCTCTCTCTCTCGCACACACACACACATCAAGTTTAAACACACACAAACACACACATATACATACAGAATTTATATACACAACACATGCACTACACACACTATATACACGATACATACACCATACACACATACAGGCACACATTCTAACCCAATCACCGGCCGCCGCCCCTGTAAGTCGTCACCGCCGCAGAACGTCGCCGACGGACGCCGGAGCTAACAGTCACGCTGCAGCTGGAGCCCCCTGAAAAGTAGCCGCCAGAGCCCGCTGTCAGTCACGCACGAACAGGGCGACCACGACACCATCATCCATAGGCCGCGACCTCCTTCATCCGCCATCGACTTAAACCTCTCTGCCCCCTGCTGCTCTCGACGATGTTGCTTCTGGTCGCCATGACTGCGCGACCTATGGTCGCTGCTTCTGGCCGCCATGACTGCCCGACCGTTGGCCGCTGCTTGTCGCCGTGAAAACCTCCGGCCGTCGCTATGGCTGGCAACCATCAAAGGCGGCGTCGCCTTTCTCCTGTCCGCCGGCACGACAACTTTTCCGGCGTCGATAATATGGTCACCTCCGACGAGTGGTCGGCAAAGGTGCCGTCCAAAGTGGTTGTACAGATGTGAAATGTGATTTTGAATCTAGGGGCTTATAGATGAGAATTTGATACTTCATAGGGACTCAATAGCAATTTTAAATTTTTTTGTTAAATTTCAATTTAACCTAAGGGCCAAATTTGTAACTTATAAAGATTTTTTTTGTTATATTTCAATTTAGCCCATGGGTCAAATCCGTAATTAGAGAAAATATATAAAAATTATTATTATTATTATTATATTTTTTATACTTATATTATATATATTATAATATATCATATCATTTCTACTAAATAAAAAGTAAAAAATAATAAACACTTAAAATAATTTTATAATAATAATAACAATATAATACTAAAATACACTTTTATGTTAATAATAATAATAATAATAATAATAATAGTAATAATAACAATAATGCATACTATTTAAAATATTCTAAAAAACTGAAATGCACCCTAAAATATTCTCGCTCAATCGATTGCACAATAATACTAGATCGTATGCACATTATTGTATATAGAAATGCACATCATTAATTTTGCTATTTCATATATTAGGTATTTACAAAAAAACTAATATAAAAATATAAATACAGCAATTCAAGTATTAAATAATTTCTATAATATAAGAAAATAAATTATTTATAATAATTATGTTAATTTGGTTAACCGATTGAATAAACTATGTATTCCAGTTTGGTTTTAATTTGGTTAGGTAAAAGTTCGGTTTGTACAGACGCACAATAGTGACTGAAGCGCTGCATATTAGTGCTAGACATGTTGCACATTAATGTATGACATACTGCACATTAGCGCGATCAAAACTGAAACAATTATAATTTTTCTGTCCGGAATTATATATACCGGTTATCTTTAAAATTTAAGTTGTTTTGAGTTTGATAATTTCAACTGAACTAAGGTTATTTAGATGATATTAAAATTTATATATTTCGATTATTTCGATCAAAAATGAAATAACTGGGCTATATGATAAAATATCATTAGTATGGTTTACATATTTTTATGTATTTTTGGTGCACATTATGATTATATGGATTTTGCACTAATAACTATATGATTGCACAATGTCAAAAAATCCAAAGAAACTAAATTTTTGGGTTTAAAATTTTATATTTCGGTTTAAAATTTTATATTTCGGTTCAATTCTTATTTTTAGTATTTTTACACTTTTAAAAACTCAATTATTTCAGTTTTGAAGTCACATTTATTTTTTTAAGCAATATAAGTAACCGAACTGTATGGAAGTTGTTATTGTTATTATTATTTATATATTTTTATGTATTGTGAGTTCACGTTATGGTTATATATATATTACAAATTAATAACAGAATGACTGCACAATATCAAACGAAATCAATCGAACTAAGTTTTTTAGTCCAAAATTTTATATTCCGCTTCAATTATTATTATTATTATTATTATTATTATTTTTTTTCGAAACGATAGAAACCATATATTAATCAAACCGGGAACAACATTCGAATACAAGGGGGCTAAACTAGCCAATAACCGACTCAAAAGAAAATAAAAATGAGAGGACACGCTTAAAAGCTGCCTAGACAAACTCAAACAGAAAAAACTAGAAAGATGGACTGACAAGCCACTGCTCCAAAGCCTAGCTACCAAACCAACTTTCGACTCCACAAAGCAACAAGCACCCAAACTACACAAGACTAAAACAAAGCAGACAAACCAAACCAAATGAAAGAAAAAAGACAAAACCAAGACAGACCAATTATGGATTCCTACATTCTAGCCATTCCTTGTGGGATCTTCTGATCACCACTGAAATAGGCATGAGCTTCTTCTCAAACAGCCACAAATTCCTGACCTCCATAGCCACTATAGGAGATATGTAGTAAGCTGAATTCTGTCCTCGGCTATGGCTGTCTTATCAGTTTCACAAAGCTGCCACCACCAGGTTTTGAATTTTCACCCCAATGAAGTAACCCCATCCCAGCTAACTGGACCCATATCCCACAACATCTGAGCTCTTGGACAGTCAAATAGCAAGTGTTCCACTGTTTCTGGCAGTTCTCCACAGCAATGGCACATAATGTCAACCTCAATACCCTTTTCTTCAGGTTTGTATTCACAGGAAGAGTATCTGTGATACATTGCCAAAGGAAGTGTTTGAGAGTGCTTTAACTTTAAGCTGCCAGCCTCTAAGTCTTGCCTTTCTCATAGCTGTTGCATTGTGACTGCTAGTAGGAATGTCCAGCCTAGTAACTTTCTGTTTAATCAGGAATGAGTATGTTGAGGAGACAGTGAAGTCGCCTTTCTTTTCCAAGCACTAGAAGACTCTGTCCTTCCTTTCAGGGTTTAAGGTGTTGATACTCAGTATTGCCTGGCTATCTTCAGAATTGAATAGTTGCTGCACCAGCCAAGTGTTCCAAGTTCTTCCATTTTCTAGCATCAGCTCTTTTACCCATGTGATGTGGCCCTGAGCTATTATTATTGTTGTTATTATTATTATTATTATTACTATTATTATTATTATAATTCTTCATTGAGCCCCTAAATTAAACCGAATGAGTGCACATTGACTAAATTGAAGTATTTTAAAATTTTTAAAATTGCAACTTGTACCCTAAGAATTATCAAATTCTCTAAATTGAGCCCCCAATTTAAAATGAAATCAATGGCAATTAATTTTCAATCTCAAGTATGAACCCACCTCCAAAATATAAATTGCACCTACATAAATTGCTGGAGATGGAGTTCGTGGTTGTATGCCAGAGTCGGTTGAAGGAAGCCGCTGGTGGTGTGGCCTACACAGACGACGGGCCATTTCCGCCGGAACCTGCATGGTCGCATCCATCTCCAGCGATGATTCGCAGCGGCGCGGAGGTGAAGCGAGGCGGCAGAGCTCCGCCGCTAAGGAGACGGTCAAGCACGGCGGCGGTGCGACGGTGAAGCGCGGCTGGTTTCTGTGCATGTGTGTGTGTGTGTGCGCGCAAGTGTGTGTGTGTGTGTGTGTGTGCGCGCAAGTGTGTGTGTGTGTGTGTATGTATGTGTGTGTGTGTGTGTATGTGTGCAGGTAGGTGTATGTGTGTGTGTTTGGGTGGGTGAAAAGGGATGCGTGACGGGGTAGGTGTAGGAGATTTAATTAATTGGCATGTGGTGGGTCTCACATGTATTTTGCTTTTGTCAAATATCTATAATACTCTTAATTAGGGGTCAATTCTATGTATTTGGCCATCATATATCTATTTATTTACTATATTTCCATTAATGATTGACCGTTATTTATTAAAGTTGGACTTAGTGATAATAACTGATGTGTATCTATGTGTGTGTAAATATATGTGCATGATATATATATATATATATATATATATATATATATTTATAGGGATTGGTTCCAATGCGTCCACTTATTTAAAGTGAGGACGTGAGACTCATTTTTAGCCACAAGATTTGGTACATCATGTGTGGCCAAGATTTACTCTTTTTTTATTATTTTAATTATTTAAACACTATTTTGACCCGTTGACTCCGGCGTGACCGTTGACTTTCGGCGTTGACCGTTGACAACTAACCTTCCAACTAGGTTAGTTCTTTGTAGTTGCTAGGTTAGTTCTATATAGTTGCTAGGCTAGTTCTCTTTAGTTGCTAGGTTTTTTTTTAAGCAAACAACGCCCCGGAAGGGCAGGAGATTGGGCTGGATCCCCAACCTGTGCATAGAGCAAGACCCCAAAACGGGGGCCCAAAATATCAATAGTCTACAGTCTACAGAGTCTCATAAGCAAAACAAAAAACAAAAGAGAGAAATAACAATACAAAGTCTGTCTTCGGACTAACAGGTGCCCGGGAATAAAATCCTAATCTAATGAAAGCAATAAACCTAATCTACTGAAAGTGGAACGATGGATATCCAAGATGGTCCATCCGTACAAGCGAGCGAAGGCGGAATGGAGCAGTGTCGGTCCGAAACGTGTGTGGGTCTGGTATGGTGGCTCCAAGGCTGGCAAGGTAGTCAGCAGGTCTGTTCCCCTCCCGGAAAATGTGAGTAATCATGTGATGGACCGACCGAAGTAGAGCTCTAATGCGCATAAGCGGGTGCTGAATCTGCCACGAGCCCTGGTGACCCAAAGTCAGGAGGGTGGCGAGTCGCAGCGTCCAGCTCGATCCAAATATGACTAGAAAGGTTGACAGCAATCTGAAGGTCAATTTGTAATGCCTGAATCTCTGCGTCGTAGCTCGAGGAGTCCTGAAGGGGCGCGTGGAAGGCGGTGATGAGGGCGCTGCTGTGGTTCCAGATCAAGTCTTCTCCTCCGGCAGCTCCGATATGGCGATCAAAAGAGCCATCAGTGTTCAGCTTAACCCAAAGAGAGTCGGGTCGAAGCCAACCAATAGCTCTGGGCCGAGGGGGCCGAACAGGCGGTGAGGAAGCCACCATGTAGCGGTGTGGCGGCGTGCAGCCTATCCAGTCTCGGGCCGTGAGCCTGCTCAATGCTATGAGGAGTGAAAGATCTCGCTCTACCTGCAAAACAATGTGAGAAAACAAAAAAAGTAATATCCCTATGCTTCGTACTATTCCTCTCCGTCCAGGTGAACCAAAAGATCAGACAAGGAATGAGGAACCCCACGTGTCTAAGGTGTGTGCTCTGTGAGAAAAAACTCAGGAGCTTAAAGAAACTGTTTGTAGTGGGTAGGGATATATGGGTCCAAGTGGCAAAGTGCTCCCATACTCTCCTCACAATCTCACTCTCTAGAAAAAGGTGGGTAAAGGTCTCGGTCTCATGGCGTCCAGTCTCAGAATAACATACACACTGAGAGGGGAAGGAGATCCCCCTCGCGTGTAACACAGTATCCACGGGTATTTGGCGCAAGAGGAGGCGCCAAAGGAACACCGAAATGGAAGGGGTGAAAAGGTCGCTCCAGATGGCCCCGAAGAGAAGATTAGGCCGATCCCTCAGCCTGATATGCTCCCAAGCCGAGGTAGTAGAAAACACACCCGATGATGTTAGTCTCCACCTCATGCCATCCGAACCATCCCCCGAAATGGGGATCTGCTGGATCTGATCTAATAAATGCTCGCTAAAACCCGCACCAGAGCCCAACTCCCTATCTAGCTTCCCCCTATCCCACGACCCGTTCGTCCAAAGGTCACTCACAAGCAGGTAAGGGGAATGCGTCACCTTCCTATCCCTAGACCAAGGCCTATCACCTAACCACCACTCATCCTAGAAACTAAACTCGCCCTCGCCCAAAACCCAGGAGATGTGATCCTGGGTGCGCCTACCAATCCTAGTGAGGCGCCGCCACTGTCTGCTATCATGATCAACAGCCGTCACCCAACAAGGGTGGTTGGCACGTCTAGGACAGTACTTACCGCGAAGGTACTGGTCCCAACGTGACTTTTCCTCCTTAAAGCGCCACCACAGCTTGTAAAAGAAAGCTGTAACAATATTCCTGAGGCGGCGGATGCCAAGGCCACCCTCAGAGAAGGGGCAGCAGATAGAGTCCCAACTCACCCAGTGGGTATGTCTCCCCCTCCCGGAACCGTCCTCGTTACCCCAAAAATAACGAGTCATAATCTGATCAATGTCGTCAAGAGTAGACCTGGGGGGTCAAGGACCATAAGAAAATGAAGCGGAAAGGAGCTAAGGGTGCTGTTGATCAGCGCTAGCCGACCACCGAAAGAAAGATGTCTATGCGACCAACCAGAAATCCTGTCGATCATCCTCTGCCTGACGTCCGCGAAGAGCGCTCTCGTGAGATTGCCCTTATATAAAGGGACACCAAGATAGGTAATGGGAAGGTCGCCGCACGCAAAGCCAGTAATCTCGTGGACCCGCTGAGCCCACCTGTCCGCGCTGGAAGAGGACAGGGTGAAGGTGCTCTTCTGCACACTGACCAGCTGGCCGGTAACTGAGCCATAGTGCTCCAGAAGGTGCATAAGCTCGACCAGTCCATCACCATCCGCTCGGGTGAAGATGATGATGTCATCCGCATAAGAGAGGTGCGAGATGGGAGGACCATAGCCACGAGTGTTGTAGGTCATCCATGGAGAGCCGCGGATGAAGCCGTCAAGGCACCGAGAGAGGTAGTCCGCTGCAAGAATGAATAGGGAAGGGGAAAGACGGTCGCCCTGTCTAAGGCCTCTAGAGGAGGGAAAAAATGTCGGTGGGGCTACCATTAACCAGGACCGAAAACGTGCAGTGCTCCACACACGCCTCCATAAAACTGATCCAACGCTCAAGAAATCCCATCCTAGCCAGTGCCTCCCTAAAAAACGGCCACTCTACCCTATCATACGCCTTAGCCATGTCTAGCTTCAGCGCAATATTCGGAGCTTGCTTCCAGTCCGCACGGGAGATGTTGTGAATCATCTCCTGGGTCAAAAGGATGTTATCACTAATGACCCGATCCTTAGCGAAGCCACTCTGGTTCGGAGAGATGTGGGAGGGGAGAAGAGGGGAAAGGCGGCCGTTAAGAATCTTCGAGATGAGCTTGTTGGTCACGTTACACAGGCTGATGGGCCTGTAGTCGGACCAAGAGCTCGGATTGGGTCTTTTGGGTATCAAGACTACAGAGGTAGACATGAAGGAATCCGACATTCGGTGACCGGAGAAAAAATCCAACATCGCCTTCTCGACGTCAGGCTCAACTAAATCCCAGCAGACCTGGTAGAAAAGACAAGAGAAACCATCCGGGCCAGAAACGCTGTTGGGGTTAATCCCGAAAACAGCATCCCTAACCTCTTCCCTACTCGGGAGCTCACAGAGGCCAACAAGATTGACCGAAGGAGGGATGGTGCGGAAGAAGGAAGCGATCGGGGCAACGAGGGACCCTCTGCCAGAGGTGAAGAGGGTCTTGAAATGAGCAACAGCCGACTCTCGAATCTGAGACTCCTGGGTCAGGGATGACCCATCATCCTCGATACTAGGGATATACGACTTAGCACGCTTCTGCCTAACGTAGCCCTGGAAGAACCTAGTGTTCCGCTCGCCCTCGGCCACCCAGCGAACGGCCGCCTTCTGCTTCCAGAAGTCCTCCTCCATAAGGAGTCGGAGCTGGTACTCGGCTTGGCAGCGGTGCATCGCAGTCCTATTCTCCGTAGTGGGGTCCAGGTCATAGGCCCGCTCAGCCACCGCGTGCTCACTCTGTTCCCGATTAGGTAAGACTAATCAATCCCAAGGTAGACACCGGGCGGACATGTTCCTG